TGTGAATTCATCTAAGACTGAAAACTGAGCAGCCATTCAGTTGTCGCCGTATTAAGGAGTAAATTGTAGAATTAGTAAATGGTGAAGTGATTGCCCTTATACTTTTAATTGACTTCCGCTATAGAGTTTGTTTGGTTTGAATTTGATCTACTCCTAGCATGCCAAACCTACGTATGTATGTATGGGTAATAAAACACCATTCATTTCATTATCAGTGGTTTCTTTATTAGGGAGATTGAGTTCAATTTTCTTCAGTGCTTCACAGACATTTTTGTGGGAAACGTGTCGGCCTATTGATTGTTACGCTAAAACTCCGGGTCGATCCGGGTTCGAGACACATTGGCCCGTTTCCCGAAGGTCCCAGTTACTAAACGGGCTCGTAAAGCTGTTCGGTTCTTTTTTATCCAAGATGGGGGTTTCAAACCTATTGAAAATTATGCAACTAGACTACCAGCTAGAGAATAAAATGGTCTGGTTAGGGCGACAAAAACCTGCCTATTTTTTCATAAAATTTTGATTTTAAAATATGGCTTAGGGCTCGTTAACTTACGGGGATTTTCGAAAAACAAACCCCAGCTGGCTGGGTAAATGTTTCGTGTTCTTTGGCAAAACACTTCATCCTTCACGAAACCTCCCAAGGAAAAATTATGAAGGCAGAAATTCTTTGTTGCAAACAAGGTGAGATTTTGGTTATCCATCAGTGGTAGAGGGTGAGTATGTGTGTTCGGCCGATGTTTGGAGGCAATTGTGGTTTCTAAGGTACGCGTTTAGGAACAAATGAATTACGAGCTACGAATTCCATGTGTTGGATTTCGATGGCTGAGAAATCGTCACAGTGAAAATAAGCTTGTATTATCCTAGGAAATTGAAGTTGCGAAAAATTGTCTGTGTGTGTTGCATCCCTTAAAAGATCTTCAAAATGGGAGTGTTGCAGATCCTTTGCGCGCCGCATGTGTTGACGTCAAATCAGCTGATGACTCTAACTTCACGTCCCGTGTTTCGCATCACTGTCGTAAGCAATCGAAACGACTAATAGTAGTGTGGTTTTTTTTTTTTTTTTTTTCGGCTAACGATGCTTCGTATAAACAGAAAAGAAAGTCAAAGGGAAAGCGAAGTGCAGTCCACTGTTTTCTCCGCATTTTTTTCAATGTCAGATTTCTAGACTCGAATTCAGCAAACGTGCATGTTACCATATTATTCATTAACATGGAATTTCGCGGCACATTTCACGTGGTAGACTAAGTGAAGATTTTTACGAGGCAGCACAGTTCACTGCTGTGAAATACAGAGGTTCCTGTTGATTTGAAAGGAAAGAAAGATTCTAAACCTACTAATATCCTTTGAAAAGCACGCGATTATTTTCGCCCGCTAAATTTTAAAGAAGTGTGTTAAGTGTTAATAACATTTGGACCCAGCCACCCGCAATTGAACCAAATCAATCAACCCATTACTTTCACTGTTCCCACGGCTCGTACTTCACGTCATATCGTAAACAATCAAAACGATTTACAAAACTGTTTAGGTTGGTTTGAACCTGAACTCGAATTTAGTTGTTTTTCGCCCAACGATGCTTCGTATAAACTCCTAAAAGAATTTTAATTTAAAAATGTAAGTGTTTAAAAAAGGCCGGGGCCAGTGTCAGTAACAACTATTACAAATTGGTAAAGAAGTAAATACACTAAGTTGTAGAAATAATGATGTTGAGATTTTTGTTCTCATTTTGCTCTGAAGTCATAAAAAGTGTTTTGTCTTTGACAACGTCTTGGTTGGTCATCCGCAGAGTGAGATCTTTATAAACTTTTTAATGAAAAGAGGTGTCAAAAAGTCGCCGCAAAGCTCGTTTTGGTAGTGGTCGGCCCCGAACAACTACTCCGCTGCCTTCCGCGATCGCTTTCACAACTAAAACCGGACAGATTTTGGAAAGATCAAAACGGTACTGCAGACTTTGTTAAACTCAACTCAGCTGAGTTTGTAATAATTGGCCATCTAAAAGAGTTTCTAAAGCTGACGAGCGTTATCCCTAAGTGAAAGTGAATGGAGGAGTTGTTTGTGAGTTTGCTGTAAAAGTTTGTCTGATGTGTTTGAGAGTTTGATATATTTTCGATGGCGAATCTTCAATCTATTATCAATTGTGGACTAGGTAACGACCCACGACTACAGTAACCGCGATTGCATCGTGCATGGGTTGACTTTTGACACTTTGTGAATGCCAGAACGTGCCGTGAAATAAAGACCGCATTGAATCTCGAGAAAGATAAGGCCAGAAAACAAGGCAAAGCTGGAAAACAAAGCAAGGCTGGAAAACAAAGCAAGGCTGGAAAACAAAGCAAGGCCGGGAAACAAAGCAAGGCCGAAAAACAAAACAAGGCGTACCGGTGCGTCAATTCAACTTTGATATCGTGTCTGAACTGCAGCAATTTGAGCGCAAGCTGTGAGTATAAAACTCGGAAATCACTTGCGGCGGCACGTTCAAAATGAGGTTTTTAATTGCATTGATAAAATGGTGCAAATTAGTATGCTTTATTTACACGACGCTGTCTCTCTATTGAACAATTTAAGTTAACATTTATTAGTAATCTACCTCGATAAATTTCGTTTAAGAAGTTCTTATTTTTACCGAAGTTCTTCTAACCTTCTATTATCGAAAAATCCCACTCACTACCGCTATGTAGGTGTGTTATTGAGATATGTACACGTAAACGTTCCTTCCAATAGTCTTTGCAGGTTATAAAGTCAATGTCGTCGAAGCTAAGAAGAAGTTAAGTACATGTATTACTTCCCACACCACGAGCCTTCACAGTAGACACATCTACGCATGGCATACCTATTTTTTATTTTCGTGCAGTTTACCCTTTCTTTCGGGGAACGAGATATGTCCTGCAGACAGCTTTTATTGTCAACTGCCGCTCTGAATTTTTAATTTAAAAAAAGCCTGTTAAAACGAACTTGGCGTTTATCAGTGTCACTGTTACCAATATTTTTCATCCGGAACCCTTCTCCGCGTCGTCTCTCGTTTTCGTTGATCCGCCGCCTAAAGAAAAAAAGTCACGCAAAAGCACCAGCCACATAGGGTAAGGGGAGATCTGGCTTGTAATAAGGCTGCTGGATACGGAGAATATTCGATTTTAGGTTGCTGATATTTCTTATGTTATCGTAGTTAAGAGTATATTTAGCACATCAGGGAAATACTATTTGTTAGTGAAGATGACTTGTCAGGGAACCCAAAAAATTTTTTTGTTATAGGTAACTGTTGAGTGTTTTGGACCTTATCTCGCACAACGTGTGACAGCGTCCTAATCATTTCAAACTAACCGATCAATAAAAACGCCCATCAATTTATTCATTCACTCAGTGTGAGACCACAAAAATAAAAGAATACTCTTCATTAGGAAGTTCCATACAGAAACTGCAGCACCGATGTCTTTGTCTCTGATTTTTCACCGGCTGGGTTCCCTAGACCGTCACCCATTCATTTATGGTTTAATCGGTCTTGTATATGGCTCTCTTGTTTCCGACAACGTAATTTGATGTCAAGATTTCAGCTGCTGTATTTTTGATAAGGTTATGGAAACGGTTTGCGCTAAAATGAATTACTTTACTTTTTGCATGCTGGTGTCCCACGTAAAGAACATACTGTCAACATGCTTTTGTCCTTGCATGTCGGGTATTTTGGGTATTCTGGTTCATGCAGGTTCTGATCAGCAAATATTTTCCTTAATCAAGTGTTTCTTCGAGACGCCTCATAGTTCCCTGGCGGGCGCGCATGCTTCCCGTGGCAAGTGCGTCCATCTTCGTGAAATAAACACTCATGCAAAGATTATTTCCTAGGAAGTTATAAATGGCTGGACCGTAAATCATCAGAACTGACACACTTACGTAATTGTTTTACTTCGGTCAAATTTGCACGTCATCTGTTCCTTTCAGAAAACCCTGGTCCCTCCCTGCGACTTTGATTTTTAAGCGATTAGTCGATCTTCTTATTTCAATGGACGAGATTTTATAAAACTTACTTTTTCTCACATTTCCTTGTAACACATATTTTTTTTGACCTGTATGCCTTTGAGACTGAGTTTCGTTAAAGAGACGTAAATGTGCCAATTTATTGACCTTGGGGAAATGGGGAAACAGAGAGAACGAAGATGACTGTGGGAATCGTCCTGTTATCTAAGATGCAATCTGAAACTCGATCACGTTTCAGCAAGGGTTGTAGTCAGCTCTATTGCGGTTATAATCCTTCAGATTTAAGTGGTTGCGCGGAGGCTGACAGATGTTCTTGTAGATGTCGGATATTTTCTGGAGGCCACCTCGCCTACAATGTTTTTTTCCCCTTATTACCTGACAATGATGATATAAATACGAAGCCATAACAATTAATAGAGCAAGCAAATTTCAACGATAATCATAAGCCTTTTTCTTTACTTCAAGGACAACTGTCATTCTTATTACGCCGTTGCGACTTTGGCGCGAGAATATGATCAAATCCTATCGACTTGTAACAGAAAGAACCAAATGTATTTGACTGTTGATTTACATCGAGACAGGTGTTCGTAAGGATAATTGTATATATGGTTTAGATATGGAGAGATATATATCGAGGATGTCTCTACTGTGCACATTGAATTTGGGTGCTGCTGCTGTTAGATTTGTGGCCTAAAGAACAAAAATGTGTTGAAAGCAAAGTTGTTTAGTTCCCTGTTCTGTCTTAGTTCTCTCTACATTTTGCATAGGTAATCAAAAGAATATGAATCTAACATTAATATTAAAACTATCCTTTGGCATGATGGAATAACAGTTGCAAAAGTCTACAGGAGGAATTCTATTACTCTTTCAGCAGTGAGCATATTGTTTTTAGATCTAAAACGAGTAAGCAATTTACTGCAACTTCTGTACAAAACAATGGTTAGTATCTTTGTTTCGTGCCTCGTTTATGCTCTCTCAAAAATTGATGTAAAACACAAAACGAGCAACATCGACTTGTCTTTTGTTTAAAAAATCATAACTTTTGCTAATGATATACGGTAAGCGACAATGTCTTGCTGGGAGTACCTAAAATGGTATATTAATTCTCCAACTAATTGATAAATTGTCATATTTGCATAGAATATTGTGGCATATTTTAATAAGTCAACTTTCCGCACAAACTGTGAAGCATGGTAATTGTCTTAAGCAAATGAAACGGGCCATTTCACTTACATTGAGAAATAATGCACCAAACTCTTCGTCTTGACTGCATAAAAATAAAATTTAGTGGCTGAAGTAATATCGAGTTTTTTTTAATTCCACAAAAAAAAAGATTGGATTTATGAAAACGCCACTTGTTCATTCGATTTTAGGGTTGTTAGCTTTCAATACTCTTCAAAGATTTCTGAAAGAGTTATAAAGTAAATTTTAAGTAGGGATGTTTTTACGGTGAGTAGCTGTTGTTCCGTCGAGTCAGCTGCGTTGTTATGCAAATGAAGTGTTCTGTATCTAATAGCTTGAAAATCTTCCTGCACGCTTTGATTGCCTAACACAAGACTTGTATCTGAAAATTTTACATCACACAAATTTACTAGTGTTGCATTTTGAGATCCCGCACGATTCCAGTCACGAATCCTCCTCTGAAACAAACAAAAAAACATGAGACTGATATCGATTTATGTATGAAGATAACCAGTATTACTTAGGCTCATTTCAAGGCAATTTCAAAGCGAGTATCTAGATGTGTAAAATCGCAATTAGAAGCAGAAATAATTGTTAATAACCAAATGTCAGTTTCGATATATATATGTAGTTATGATGTTTTGTGGTTAAATGAAATAAAATATTCACCCTAAAGTCAAGCTCGATCACTTTGAATTGGAAATTACTTTTTCATCAGATGGTTTAACCTATATGAAACCCCAAAAAAAAGAAACAAAAAAAAAGGTGGAAAGGTTTCTAAATGGTAGTTATTTAAAGAATCTTATTTCGTGCGGAAGGTTGGTCGGCCACAATCATTTAGGTACACAGGTCAACGCGTGATAAAATATCCCGGTAGCGTGGGCCGTGATGCGGGGAAATTTTTACGACCGGAGTGTTTTCAGAGACGGGTCCAAATTCGAGGACTTAATGACAAATGTGAACCAGCGGTGACTTATTTCGGAACCTCCTGGTGTTATCCTATCCAGCCTGACAGAGCGTATCGACCTAATTAAACCGACGTTCGCTGATCAGCACAATCCAGTTTTCAGAGGTCGGTTAATCGAGAGGTCAATAACAGCGCTATCAATATTCAGCGCTAGATTGTTCTTCAGAGTTATTTTCGCGACGACTAGGT